AAACCCCAGAACTGCACGATTCGTCAACTACAACGCCTCCCGCGGCGTGCGAAAGACATGTGCGTAAGCAAGAACCTCCCGAATTTCCGCCCCAGAAGATCCCAAGCGAGGCCGGAGGGCCAAGGGGGAGCGAGAACGAGGGAGGATGAGGAGACGATGTGTATGTATACATCTATATGTGTATACACAAAAGACCGTCTCCTTTTGCTGTTTTTTACATCCCCATCTAGCCAACTCTTACCCCTTCATGGTTTCGATCCTGTAAGCCTACATGCACCGTCCGGCTTGCTTCGCCCGCCCTGAACGCATACATGCGACCATGTATACGTACCCTTGGACGTACACATACAAGGAGCAAGCAACACATTTTTTTTTATGACCGCATGAACAAGTCTAAATGTACATACCTGTAAACGCACATATGTACACACATGCGTTTGTATATGTACACGTGTGCTTAGTTATACAGGCCTGTATGTGTGTACAGGCGCAACCCTTTCTACATGTTCGTCACATGAATCCCCCTCTTGTCGTCTCTCTCCCGATTGTAATTTCATCAATCGAATGTAATCGCATCAGTTGCAATTCAACCGATCGCAATCCAATCTATGGCAATGCGAACGCTTCCAATCCTATCAAATGCAATCCATTGCGATGCAATCCCCCTCCCCTCCCCCCCTTCCATCCCCTCCCTCCCCTCGCTCTCCTCCGTCCCTCCCCTCCCTCCCCTCCATCCCTCCCCTCCCTCCTGTCCCTCCCTTGCATTCAAATCGATTTTAATCAAATCGATTGCACTTCAACCGATTGCAATCGCAAGTCCAATCCATTGCCATGCAATCCTCCTCCCTCCCTCCTCTCACCTCCCCCACACGAGCCAAAGAGAGAGGGGGGGGGGGCTTCAAACCCCCCCCCTTTTTGCACCAAGGAGGGAGGGGGGGGGGGCTTCCAAACGCCCCCCCCCCCCCCCCCCCCCCCCTCCCCCCCTTCAAAGAGGGGGGGGGGGGGCTCACCCCAGCCCCATTAAAAGGAGGGGGGGGTTGGGGGGGGCGCAGCTTGGAAGCACCCCCTTGTCTGGCCACGAAAAGAGGGGGAAGGGGGGGGGGTAGGTTCGAAGCCCCCCCCCCCCCCTCCCCCTTTTCAAAGGGAGGGGGTGGCTCACCCCGGCTCAATTCAAGTGAGGGAGGGGGGGGGGGGTAGCTTGGAAGCCACCCCCCCTTTCCGGCCACGAAAAGGGGGGGAGGGGGGGAGGAGTTTCCGAAGCCCCCCCCCCTTTAGCAAGGAAGGGGGGAGGGGGGTAGCTTCAAGCTGGGGCCCCCCTTCTAGTCTGTCGGGCCCCACGAGCGCGGTCTATCCGAGGTTTGGTGTGGCCAGAGCAGCTCTTTCGTTCCTGATTCAGCGTTCCATCTGGTACACGACTGCTGCACCGAAAACTCCTCAATTCGGCCCAGTTCGCAGAGCATGAAATCATGCCATCCGCAGCAGGACTGCTGCCAGCACGGGGCTGGACCTGGTCTATGATCAACGCCCGAAGTGCACCCAGCGACGCAGCGCAGCGTGAATTCTACGTAAGCCAAGGCATAAGCACTTTTCCGATTCAAACTAGGCTGTACCTGTTCACGGCGGAACTAATACACATACAAACCAATGACCCTCCAAACGGTCAGTCCTTGTGCAACCGCGGATTCTAATCCAATCCAGTTGGCCGAGGATCCGCAGCCAGACGGCGCGCAAAACAACCCTCTGCCCATGCCGAGTACTTGATGTTTCAGCGCCATCGATCATCGGGCTGAGGCTGCACGACGATCGGACCAACTTGCTGGCGCAGCTCCTGCATGAATTTCGATATCGGTGCCGATGTATGTCCGCGCCATTCAGATCTGTGTCTGCGACAGACAGGTCGCAAGAACCTTGACGAAATGAGCAAGGTCGTAATGACAAGAGTGGATGCATCGGCGGAATCGGCAAGGATCCGCTCCAGTGCAGATCGACGGAGTCTCTGGCAGACTGGAGCAGGGTCTTGTTGCAACGTGGGTCGTGGCGAGCGTTCAGGTCGGCGGGGCTCCTCCTCCTCCTTCTCCTCTTCCTCCTCCTCGTCTTCCTCCTCCTCTTCCTCCACAAAAACTCAATATGAATACACTCTCCTCCATCCCCTGATGGCGTGCGGAAGATAGCGGGCACCCCTCCGCGTATTGTTTTTTACTCGCAGGAATTCCCGGAGTTGGTTTTCGCTTGGGTTTTTTTTGAACATGCTGCTCTCGCTGAGGCGCCGGCCTCATTTTCGGGCTTCCGCTCGTTCCGAATCGTGCTCCCGCTGCAGCATGGGCCTCATTTTCGGATCGGTGTTTTGCCTCCGTCGTTCAGGATGGCGTTCTCGCCCCAGCGCGGGCCTCTTTCTCGTGCGCCCATCTGCCCGCCACCACCGCACCGCGCCCCGCCCCGCCCACCGCCACTTCCACCCGCGAACGCACGCACGCACGCACGCACGCGCACCACCACCGCGCACCGCCACCACCACCCCACTACCCCACCCACCACCACCACGCTACACCGCGTCACACCACATCACACGCACGCACACACACATACACACGCACACACACACACACACAGACGCACATTCACCACCACCACCACCGCCACCACCACCACCGCCATCACGCACTCACGCACCTGGCCCACCACCAAACCACCAAGACGCCACACCACGTCACACCACAGCACACGCGCACACACGCACACACACACACCACCACCACCACCACCATCACCACAACCACAATCACGCACACACGCACGCATGCACGCGCACCACCACCCACGACGTACGCGCGCGCGGAGCCACAGGTCCGCTACGAAACCCGTCCGCGGATAGAGAAAATCAGCGCCATGGTAAGGGATGGGAGGGAGGGGTAGGACGTAAGATATGACGCGAGCGCACATAGCTTGTCCTACTCCTGCTCCTGCTCCTGCTCCTCCTCCTCCTCCTCCTCCTCCTCCTCCTCCTCCTCCTCCTCCTCCTCCTCCTCCTCCTCCTCCTCCTCCTCCTCCCCCACTCCCTCCCCCACTCCCCCCCCCGCTCTCGGACGGACGGGTGGACGGAGGCAATCCATCCGCCGTGCGAGCACAGCTCATGCTGAAAGGCACAGGAGATGATGGGGGCAGGGGAAGGGAGTCTGCACGAACGAAATGGTTACGGAAAGAATGGGTACAATGCCCAAGAGCAGTTCCTGTTCATTCTGAACAGGACTTGCTGTCCGCGCCGCCGCGGCCTGTGCCCATTCGAGGCAGAAGGCCGTCTGCCCAGCAGCGGCCGGTGTTGGTTTTGGAGAACATTTGCTGTTGGGCATTGTGCCCATTCCTTCCGTACCCATTTCGGGCGTCCAAAGGGAGGGAAAGGAGAAATGTAAAGGACAGCACGGAGCAAAGACGTTTGCTCCGTGCCCCACGGGCCCCGACCTCCTCTCTCCAGGTCCTTGAGCGGCCAGCGGAGGGCGTCCGACAGGGCGTTGATGCGAGTCGGGACGGGGGGGGGAAGAGGGCGGGGGGGGGCCTTCCAACCACCCAGCGGCAGCCACCAACAGTCCGCTTGTTCTCTGGGAGACGCATCCTCCTCCTCTTCCTCCTCCTCCCCCTCCTCCTCATCCTCCTTCTTCTCCTCCTCCTCCTCCTCATCGTGCTCCTCCTCCTCCTCTTGCCCACCCCACTTACACACCGGGACTCGGCAGATTTGTGTCGTCAGCAGGTGCATGACATGGGCAATGGCGCTCACGGTCGAGAGCACGAGGGAGGGCTCGCGAGGGATGCCGCCGTGCGACCGCTTAGCTCGCAACCCAGTTTTCGCCTGTGTTCGGGGGACTGCTTCACGAAGCAAGTTTTGATTCAATCCGACAGGAGCGTCTCGATAGGAATCGGTCTCTGGTCGGTAGCTTCCGCCACCCACTAAACAACCCCTAATCATCATCTCAACCACCTCTACAGCCTTGCTGCAATGGTGCACCGCATCTCGTGCAGAGGGCAAGGAGGGAAGGAGGAGGGGAATCCATGCAGAAGAAGGGGGGGAGGAGGAGGAGGCTTCGTAGAGCTCTGGGCCTACAGCGCGGCGCGATAAAGGATTCATGAATTCTCTTGCCCGCCTGGTGCAGTAGGCCTCTGGCCCAGACCTCCCGCCAGACAGCGCCACGGCTTATCTTGACGGAGAGTGGCGTTCACAACTCGTGCGAAGCAGTTGCGTCAAGAAGTGGACGCCGCACGGCGCTTTTTCACGGGTGGAACGGCGCGCACGGGAATCTGGGGCATGGCCCGCCGCCCCCATGGATAGGGCCCCCCGCGCTGCAAGGAGCACACGCCCCTCTGCAGGAGGGATATTCAAACGTACTAAACAAATAGTCGGGGGATCTTTTCCAGTATTTTTCGTGTATTTTTGAACGTTTGTGGACTCTTGTGTACGTTTGGTAAAACAAAAACCGCCTGTTGGGGGACACGCCCTACCCGAGTCAAGTTTCCAGCTGTGTCTGCAGCCGGAGTGTTTGGCCTCCGCTCTCCCCCTTCCTGCCCCTTGGTCCTGCTGCTGCGCACTCCCCTGAGGTCCGAGGTCGCAGAAGTCCGAGACGCCCTCAGAGATCACACCATCAGAGTCACATCACACAAGTGATGAACAGCCCGCCGTGCAAAATTCGGCACGTCCAGATCATCTCGATGCCTTCTCTGTTCTGGTCCTCCTCCTCGTCGGCGTCCTTCTCCTCCTCGTTCTCCTGCTCCCCCCTCCTCCCCGATCCGCCCCCCCCGGCCTCCTCGATCCTCGGTCCTCCCCTCCCTCCTCTCCGATCCTCTTCCCCGATCCTCTTCTTCGATCCTTCTTCTCGATCACTCCCCTCCCCCCCTTTGCCCGCTAGGCCGTGCGCGCGGACTCCGCACGGCTGCGCGCCTTTTCTCCAGCGATATCTCGTCCGCGGTGTCCCCTCTCCCTCCCGGCGCTCCCCTTCTTAGCGGAGCGCGCCGAGGCTGCGGGGCGATTGGTTCAATGCGTGCAGCAACCTCATGGACCACCGCCGCCGCCGCCTCCGCCGCCGCCGTCGTCGTCGTCGTCGTCGTCGTCGTCGTCGTCGTTGTGGTGCTCGTCGTGGTGTTCGGTCTCGTCGTGGTCGTCGTGGTCGTCGTCGTCGTCGTCGTGGTAGTCGTGGCCATCGTGTTCGCGGCGGTCGTCGTGGCCGATGTCGCCGTCGTCGTTGCCGTGGCCGTATGGGCCGTGGCCACTACCGCGCCCAACACTACCACTACCAGCTCGCCCATTCTGGCGTGGCCGTTCGCGCATCGCGCGACGGACTCCGTGTAGACCGCGTACTACCACTACCACTACCACAACCAGTACCTGTACGAGTACCAGTACCAAATCAATACGTGACACTAACACGACCACTACCACTACCATTACCACTACCACTACCACTAACACTAACACTAACACTAGCACTAACACTAACACTACCACTAACACTAACACTAACACTAACACGAACACCACCACTACCACTACTAGTATCACTATCACTAGCACTATCACTACGACTACCACTACCACTACCACTACCACTACCACTACCACTACTACCACTACCACTACCTCTACCACTATCATTGCCACTACCACTACCACCTTCACTACCACAACAACCACTACCACTACCACTTCCACTAACACTATCAGCACTAGCACTAACACTGACACTAACACTAACACTAACATTAACACTAACACTCACACACACACACTGACACTACTACTAACACTAACACTAACACTAACTTTATCACTAACACTACCACTAACACTAGTACTAGCACTAATACCATCACTCGCACTATCACTACATTTTCACTAACACTACCACTATCACTAACACCAACATTAACACTAACACCAACCTTATCACTATCACTACCACTACCACTTCCACTACCACGCCCTTCATCGCTTCGTCCACTACCGCTACTACCGCTACTACCACTACCACTACCACTACCACTACCACTGCCACTACCACTACCACTACCACTACCACTACCACTACCACTACCACTACCACTACCAATACCACTATCACTACCACTAACACTAACACTAACACTACCACTACCACTGCCACTGCCACTGCCACTGCCACTGCCACTGCCACTGCCACTGCCACTGCCACTGCCACTACCACTACCACTGCCACCACCACTACCACTACCACTGCAATTGCCGCCCACCATTACCACTGCCGCTACCACGCTCACGGCAACAACCGCTACCACGACGACCGCGAACACGATCACGACCTCGGCCACGTCCGCGCCCTCTCCCGACGCGACGTCCGGCCCCCGTCTCTCCCCTCCCCTCCCTGCTCCTTGCTGACCATTCCGTTCGGTGGCATGCCCCCCCCCTCCTCCGCCGCCCCCTCCTCCTCTTCCTCCTCGAGCTTCTCCTCCTCTTCCTCCTCCTCCTCCTCCGCCTCCTCCTCCTCTTCCTCCTCGTGCTTCTCCTCGTGCTGGTCCTACTACTCGAACGGTATGCCTTTCTGTCCTGCCCGTCTCGCCTCACCTCCCGCCTGTGTTGGCCGCTGCCCGTTTCTAGCGCGGGATTCTTGCCACGTGCCCGATTCGAGGCACGCTCTTGAGAGCGTTCCTTCCGCTATGCACAGAGAGCTTCGTCTTTCACACCTTTTCTCACATCCATTTCTTTTGGCTCCTCCTGTTCCTGAGGGAGAGGAATGACTAGGATGATGAGGAGGAGGGAAGGGCGGCGGAGGAGGAGGAGGAGGGGGAGGAGGAACAGCGTGAGAAGGAGGGAGGAAGAGCGGATGATGCCTAGATGCTGGTGATGATACGTTGGACGATGATGAACATATTCTAGACGCTTCGCGTAACCTCAACAGGCCATCCAGAAACGATGCCCAGACAAGGGTTGGGTAAGACGTCGTACCCCAAGAGGGGGAGGATGGAGGAGGAATCGGAGGAGGAGCAAGAGGAGGAGGAGGAGGATGAGGAGGAGGAGTAGGAGGAGGAGGAGACGGAGGAGGAATGAGGAGGAGAGCGTGGAAAGAAAGAGGCGGAGGATGATGAGGAGGAGGAGAAGGAGGAGGAGGAATGAGGAGGAGAGCGTGGAAAGAATGAGGCGGAGGATGAGGATGATGAGGAGGAGGAGGAGGAGGAGGATGATGATGATGATGATGATGATGATGATGATGATGAGGAAGAGGAGGAGGAGGAGGAGGAGGATGAGGAGGAGTAGGAGGAGGAGAAGGAGGAGGAGGAGGAGGAGGAGGTGGGAGAGGGGGAGGAGGCAAAAGAGAGGAAGAGGAGGAGGAGGAGGAGGAGGAGGAGGAAGCGGATGAGGAGAAGGATGAGAAGGAGGAGGGCCAAGGGGGGGAGAAGGAGGAGGAGGAAAAGGGCAAGCGGAGTGGCCAGATGCCTCTTGGATGCCTCTCGAAGTCTCTTCGGATGTCTCTTGGGAGCTTCTTGGACGCCTCTTGGGACGTCTTGGGGCCTCTTGGCGGTCCCGGAGGCCTCTGGGGGTCTCTTGTGAGCTCCTTGAAGGCCTGAGGGCCTCCTTGGTGCGTCTTGGGGCACTCTTGGGGCGCTCTTGGGAGCCTTGGGGGCGCTCTTGGGGCCATCCTGAGGGGATCGATTTTTCAGGGGGGGTACTCAAGTCAGCACTGCCCCTCTAGAATCGCCTCTTGGACCCCTCTTGGAGCGCTCTTGGGGCGCTCTTGGGCGCTCTTAAGGCCGTCTTGGGGCCATCTTGGGCCCCTCTCGGGGCTCTCTTGGGCCCTCTTGGAGCCATCTTGAGACCTCGGAAGGCCATCCGAAGCGAAAAGGCGAGAACGCAAAACACATTGATATCCTGTAGGTTTTGGAAGGATTTTGGCATGGCTCCGTGGCTACCTGGAGCCGTCTTAGAGCGTTCTTGGGGCCTCTTGGAGCATTTGGGGCGCCATCTTGGGGCACCTTGGGCTGTCTTGAGCCATCTTGGATGTCATTTTGGCCTCTCTGAGGCGCTCCTGGAGCCGTCTTGGGCGAACAAGTCGCCTCTGACACCTCGCGGGGCGCCCCCTCCAGGTCCAGGGTAGGGGGGAGGTGGAGGGGTCAAGCTACCCGCCCGCCTGCAAGCCGTCTAGCTCACTCCCACCAGCCCTCCCAACACAGAAGTAACACCCGAGCCTGAGCATGTTCAGCGGTCGTCTTTTGATGGACAGCTACTGGAAACCAAAGCCGACCGACCCCAGGTGCGGGACGCTTGGGCGAGGTGCGCCACCCGTGCCAGGGACGCCACGCGCGCCAGGCACTTCTGGGGCCCGAGAGTGCCAGGCACGCCTGGTGCGCCACCGACAGCACACATCGGGAAACATGTCAGCCCCCACCTCCCCGTCGAAAACAAATGCCCATCATTGTGCCTGGTGGGCCTGCGCACAGCAGGCCACGCGCCACCACCCCCGCCGTCCCTGTCCGTAACCACTTAATAATGATCGCGGGGTGGCCGCGCATGATATAGAGATTAAGCCACGAGGTGCGTTCTTTTGTTTCAAGGATGGTAGCCCTGTGCGCAGCAGGGAATATGCTGACACCCCCGCCGTCCCTGTCAAAAACTACAAGGTGATCGCGGGCCTCACGAACATGACTCAAGACTTTGGCGTGGGACTCCCGTGGCCCACTCTCTTGGCCCATTTAAATGGCGACTACCTTGTCTTCGTCATCGTCCTCCTCGTCGTGGCGGATTAGACATTGATTCCTTTTATAGCGGAATGCAGATTTTTTTGTGGCGGGTAACACAGGGAATCCTTTTGTGGCGAATTATACCACATTGATTCCTTGGTGGCGGATTACATATTGATTCCTTTTGTGGCGGATTGCAAAGGGAATCCTTTTGTGGCGAATTACAAAGGGAGTCGTTTTGTGGCGGATTACAAATTGATTCCTTTGTGGCGGATTGCAAAGGGGATCCTTTTGTGGCGAATTACAAAGGGAATCGTTTTGTGGCGGATTACAAGTTGATTCCTTTTGTGTCGGATTGCAAAGGGGATCCTTTTGTGGCGAATTACAAAGGGAATCGCTCTGTGGCGGATTATAGATTGATTCCTTCTGTGGCGGATTACAAAGGAAATCCTTTTGGGGCGAGCTACAAAGGGAATCCTTTGTGGTGGATTATAAGTTGATTCCTTTTGTGGCGGATTGCACGGAACCCGTTTGTAGCGGATTACAAAAAAAACCCTGTTGTGGCGAAGTACAAAGGGAATCCTTTTGTGGGGATTTTGAGCGGTCTGGACCTGTGTGAGGTTCCCAGGATTATATATACATATATATATATATATTGAAAAATAGATTTTTGATATTTTTGGAATAAGAAAACCAGGTTTCGCCTGAGGCTCCCTTAAATTTTATAAATCCATTGAGCTTGGCTGCTGTAGAATTCGGAGGGGGTCTCAAGCGAAACTGTGTTTTTTCTGTGTAAAATCAATGTAAAAAACGATGAAGAAAACAGGTTCCGCTTGAGACCCCCTCCGGAATTTACAGCAGCCAAGCTTCACGGATTTAAAATTCTGATCGAGTGTCAAGCGAAACCTGGTTTTCTTATTTCAAAAATTTTTAAAAACTTATAAACGTTTATAAAATTTATAAATCCTGCGGGCCTCACACAGGCCCAGACCGCTCAAGATCCCCACACAAAGGAATTCTTTTGTAATTCGCCACATAAGGGTTTCCTTTGTAATCCGCCACAAAAGGAATCACTTTGTAATCAGCCACAAAAGGATTCCCTTCGTAATTCTCCACAAAAGGATTCCCTCTGTAATCCGCCACAAAGGAAATCAATGTGTAATCCTCTACAAAAGGATTCCATTTGTAATCCGCCACAGAAGGAGTCAATTCTTGACGCTTCGCGTCTCCCCACCAGCCCATCCTACACGAGCGCTCGAACGAAGAGCGCCGATGATCGGCAGCTGTTCTTCTCCCCCTCTTCCTCCTTCTCCTCCGCTTTCTTCCTCCTCCTCCTCCTCTCCTTCTCCCTCTCCT